ACGGTGGCTGCGATGATGGGCTCAAGTATAGCAGGGATTGTGGGGCTGGCGCGGGATCGGGCAGTGTTTCGTTCTGGTGTGCATGGGGTCGCTATGAGTCGGAAACGACTCAACGGCACTTAACAACAACAACAACAACTAAAAGGTTGGTAGTTCCAACCCACCAGCTGCTCGATGGGAGAAAGATGTGGCAGTCTGCTTAACCATTGTACCACCAAGCTTCCTTACCCATTACCATCGAGTTGATTCCAACTCAGAGCAACCCTAGAGGACAAAGTATAACTGCCCTATATAGTTTCCAAGACTGCTAATTAAAAGCTGGGTAATTTGAACCCATCAGCAGCTCCACAGGAGAAAAGACCTGGCAATCTGCTCCTGTAAGGATTACAGCCTGGAAAATCTTATGGAAGTGTTCTACTCCATCACATGGGATTTGCTATGAGTTGGGATCTACTCAATGGTGGCACACAACAGCAACAATATATGTGTGTATGTTTATGTGTATATATATATGTGTGTGTGTGTGTATGCATACATACATGCACTTATGTACACACACACACACACACACATACATATGACAAAAACAAACTTATTTCCATATGCAGAGACTGGTATAACAAGTATCAACAAAGGCATTTTTAGCAAGATTCTGTTTCTAGATTTAAAATACCCTTATCAATTAGTGACAATTATAACCCACACATTGTGGGATAAATGAAAAGACTCTAAAGATGAATTAATGAGCTTGCTGCCTAAATATGTTCTGATTCTGAAAACCTGCTCATGCATTACACCTCAATAGAGGACTCCATTCTCCTCTATTCTGATATTGTTGGTTATTGTAATAAATGGACCACAGTCATTTAGTTAACTTATTAGCAGGTCTGCTTCCCCCCCTACACACACTTGCCTAAAGGCCTCTGCTTCCAGCTGCAGGTCAGAAGTTGAGTCTTCTGAAAGAAACATTAGAAGAATGAGCACCTCAGTAAAGGGCCGCAGCAGATACACTTGGCTCTTCATATTTCAATGAATAGACTAATGTGGACAGGCTCCCAACTGACATCATTACCATGACTAGACACAGGCAGGATCCAAGAGTCTTCAGAGCCAAAGAAGACAACTTTGTAAAGTAGACTACCTAACCCAAGGTCACCAGAGCAGGCATTATGACCTATGATTGGGTGAAAATGATTTATTTGTGATTAATGTTCTATTTTCTAAAGGGTATATGAGGATATGCTTCTTTTTACCCTGATGTATCCCTAATCCCCAATTGGTTGGTTGTTGTTGTTAGGTGCTGGTTAGTCTATTTTGACTCATCGCAACCCTATATGACAGAGTAGAACTGCCCCAAAGGGTTTCCAAGGTTGTAATCTTTATGGGAGCAGACCGCCAGGTCTTTCTTTCAAGGAGTCACTGGGTGGATTTAAACTGCCAACCCTTCTATCAGCAGCCAAGCACTTAACTGTTGCATCACCCGGGCTCCTTAATCCTCAATTTAGGAAGCTATATTTATACAAAATTGGGATAAAATAGTCCTTAAATGGTGCCTTGTTCAAACTAACACTTTAGAATTCTAGGATTTAAAAAAAAATTTAAAAAAGCTCATGAAAACTTAATACAGATAAAACTAAAAAAAACCCCAGAAAACCTAACTCACTGCCATTGAGTCAATTCAACTCATAGCGACCCCTCCTTGGGTTTCCGAGGCAGTATCACTATGGAAGTAGGATTGCCCAACCTTCCTTCCGAGGAGTGGCTGGTGGGTTTGAACTGCCAGCCTTCTAGTTAGCAGTCAAGTGCTTTAGCCACTACACCACCAGAGCACCTTAATAAATTAGTAAGGAAATTTTAAAATAGTAACTCCATTGAAAATAACATGTAACTGGTCTTGTCTACAAAACTAGTTGGAACAATTGCTAAAAAATATGTAGTACCTTTCCTGAGACACTTTTCATGACTGTTCATTATATAAATAGGTTCCATAAAATTTGCTCCTCCTTCCTAACAGGATATAAGTGGGCAAATCAAATTTGTAACCATGACCATGCCACAAATGTCAGATTTAAAGACAACTCTCATTTAATTAGGCATGACAAGCCTGAGGGTGAGAAACAAGGACTACACCTCACATATAGCATCATTTCTGATTTTCACACTGCTGATATTGGCAAACATGTTAATGCTTACAGATAATAATCATCAGGTAAGAAAACTACTATTTTCCTCCACTGAACAGAGGAACTGTGATCTTGGTAACCTTAACCTTTATTTCTTTAAATACCTCTGGTACTTTTATTTGGTAAGCCAGTCTTTCTTAAGTCTGTACTCCCCTGCAAAACTTAGCAAGTAGATTACTTTTCTTTCCTTAAAGCATTTGCTTCTGAACTGTGCACTCACATATTATAAACTGCATGAGGGCAGGATTTTTGTCTGTTTTGTTCACTGCTATGTTCCCAGTGCCTAGAATCACGTCCAGCATATAGGATATATAGAGCAAACAAACAAACCACCAAACTCAATGCCGTGGAGTCGGATCCGACTCATAGCAACCCCTCCTTGGGTTTCCAAGGTGGTATCACTACGGAAGTAGATTGCCAACCTTCCTTCCAAAGAGTAGCTGGTGGGTTTGAACTGCCAGCCTCCTGGTTATCAGTCAAATGCCTTAGGCACTATGCCACCAGAGCTCCTATATATATATAAAACAGTTCCCAAAAATTCTATTCCTACTTGTGACCATTTCATGTGCTGCAGAGCAGAACCATGTTCCACAGGGTTTTCAATAGCTGTGACTTTATGGAAGTAGACTGCCAGGCCTTTCTTTTGAGGTGCCTCTGGGTAGATTCCAACCACCAACTCTTCATTTAGTGGCCGAGTACACTACCTGTTTGCACTACCCAGGGACTCCTAGCACATAGTATAAATCTCAAACCAAATTCACTGCCATCAAGTCAATTTTGACTCAGAGACCCTCATTGGGTTTCCAAGGTGGTAAATCTTTACAGAAACAGAATGCCTCATCATCCTTCCACAGAGCTGCCAGTAGGTTTGAACTGCCAAACTTCTGGTTAGCAGTCAAGTAACTTAGGCACCATGTCACCAGAGCTCCTTAGCATATAAGATAGGCTCTATAAATATCTGTTAATTATATGCTTTATAAAAGTTCTATTTATTCCACTAATGTTTAACAAATGCCTAGATGCCTATTATGTGTCACATACTAGGGATACAGAAATGGAGAAAATCAAGGCCTTGTCCTCAAAAACTCCTAACACAATGAGGGAGGTGGACAAATAACCAGGTAAGTACCTGGTAGCCCACCACTGCTGTGAGGGAGACACATAGGGCCTGTGGAAACAGGCTTGGCCCCTTACCAGCTGGGGTGCCAGGGAGGGCTTCTTGGAAGAAGCTGGACAGAAAGATTGAGTAGAAGGTGCCCAGAGAAATGGGGTAAAGGAGCGGGAGGGTGTTTCAGGTACAGGACACACATGTGCAAAGACCTAGAGATGAGCAGTGTGGCTGGAGGACAGTGGGCAGATGGTGCAATATCGAGAGCTGAGGCCAGTAAGGTCCACAAAGGCCATTTCACAAAAGGCCTCAAATGCCAAGCAAAGAAGTTTGTCTTGACCCTGAGGGTAATGGGCACCTAGCTGCCCTTCCCATGATGCACCAGGCCACAGGTGCTGAGCTGAAACAGGCTACTGGCAGATAGCACCAGGCAGGCCACTCACCTGGTGTGCTGCTGGAGGTGGGAGAGCTGTCGGAAGGACTTATCACAGTAGGAGCAGTGGTAGGGCTTGACGCCCAGGTGGATGCGCAGGTGCTGGGCCAGGTAGGAGGCGTTGGCAAAGGACTTGGAGCAGTGCGGGCACTTGTGGGGCTTGGCCTCTGTGTGCGACTTGGAGTGGATCTGCATCTCGGACTTGGTGAAGAAGGTCAGCGGGCATACCTTACACCTGTGGGGTGAGAGGCAGGTTCACATCTGGGAGGAACACCCCACCTCCTGCCTGCACACCTCAAGAGAGACTTTCTACCTGCTCACATCAGTGACCTTATACCTGAGACAGATCTTTCCAGTGCAAAGTCCAAGAGGACACAGGCCTGCCAGGGAAAGATAGGAGACAAGGCCCCAGCCGGCGCACCCTTCAATCTGCAGGAGAAACTTACACCTGGGAGCACACTTATGGCCACTGGGGCAGGTTTACACTTCATAGGGGAAGAGAGGGCTCAGGATCCCACTGAGGGCTTGACCAGAGCCAAACGCCAGGTTCTGGAGGAGCAGAGAACTCTAAAAGGAAGTGGTTCTCAGCCCTGGCAGCTCATTAGAATCAGCTGGGGAGCTTTAGCAGAAGAAACACTTGGCTATCTGCTTCCGTAAAGACTACAGCCAAGAAAACCCAATGGAGCAGTTCTACTCGTAACACACGGGGTAGACATGAGTCAGAATTGACTTGATAGCAACAGGTCAATTTTGATTTGGGGATCTTTAAAAAATACAGATACTTGGGAGCTCCTGGACAAATTAAATCATAATTTCTGGAGGTAGGGACCTGGCACTGGCATTTTTAAAAAGCTCCTTGGTGTAGCCAGGCTGAGAACACCGCTTGAAGAGAAGAGGAAATGTCCTTGCCTGAGGAAACCCCAGGCCACGGTGGAGGCTGCCGGCCAGCATCAACACTGCGGATCCTCGCCAGCCCCAGAGCACCTCTGAGGAGCCAGGCTCTATGCCCTACCTCTCCAGGGCCTGGGTTGTGGGCGGAGTTCACCAGGAGACCCCGCCCCTCCAGACCTTAGCCCCACCTCAGTCCCCTAGGCCCCTCTTTCACGCCTAGCTGCTGGGCTGGGGCAGCCACTGGCTCGCTGTTTCGCCCCTGGCCCAAGACAACCTCTTCCACCCAGGTCCCCACCTGTAAGTCTTGCCCTCCTTGGCGGTCTCGCCCGAGGCCAAGATGGGGTAGGGGACGACGAGGACAGGAGGCCCCCCTGGGTTCTCCGCCTTGATCTTTTTGCGGCCGCGCTCGGACTTGGGGGGGCCAAGCAGGCCATGGCCCTGGATTGTCTTGATGGAGTCCAGGAGGGGGGGGCTGGTGATCCCTGAGATGAGGGTGGGGGACGAGGCGATGAGGCGGCTCTGGCTGGTGGTGGTGGGTGTGGACGGGGTGCTGGTACCCGTACCCGCGCTCGACTCAGATGTGCTCACGGCCGGGGTCCGGGAGGAGAGCCCCAGACCTATGAAAACACGAGGGGAGGAGAGGGGCTGAGGGGCAGCTGAAGAGGCTGGCTCAGCCCTGGGCCCCGCCCAGCTGTGCGACAGTGGCACCATTCGCAAGTTATTTCCAGGGATAACAACAAAAGAGAGCTGTGTACGTGGTAGGTGCTTTAGATAACTGCGGACTGCAATGAACTAGAGAACAGAGGCACTTTGGAAAGAATTCAAACCACGGGAAAAGACTGAGGCACAAAGATATTCACTGACGGGTTATTTATAATAGAAAAAATTAGAAGCAACTGAAATGTACAACGGTAGGGAAAGGTTTAGTAACTGATGCTTTCTACTGAACCGCCCATTAAAAAGGTTAGATTTGTAAATAACCCGTGTTTGTTAGGCGGGAGGGAAAAAAAAAAAAAAAAAAAGAGGCCCTGCACCAAAATGTGATGCAGGTGGTGGAATTAGAGGTAATTAAAATTTATTTTTCTTTTGGCTTAATTGTGCTTTCTGATTCTTTGACAATTATCTTTATTATTATTATTCTTTCTTCTGTAATCAAAGGATTTTGTTGTTTTGTTTTTAATGAGGGGAACAGAAGCATATTTATAATAACCAGGTTATGTGGAAAAAAAGGAGATGAAAATTGAAAATAGTATCTCGTGTGTGTTAAAACTATGTTTTTTAAAAAAGAAACCAAAAATTTGTGCACTGAAAGAGAACCCAGGTTTCACAGGAGGGTTTTTTGAGGAAACAAGCTCCATCCTACACTGTTGGTGGGAGTGCACGTTTGTGCAACCTTAAAAAAAAAACTGCCATCAACTGGAATCTGACTCATAGCCAATTCAGCAAAAGCCATCAAAATTTAAAATAATTTTTGACCAAGGAATTCTACTTCTAGAAATCTACTATAAAGAAACAGTCCCATTTGAGTCCAAAGATCTGTATACACAGATCTTCCAAACAAAATGGAACACAACCCATTTCCCCTCAGTAGAACAAAAACTCACTTGCCATCAAGTCAATTTCAACTCATGGCAACCAAACATGTTGCAGGGCAGAACTGCCTACCACAGCGTTTTCAAAGCTATGACCTTTTGGAAGCAGACTGCCAGGCCTTTCTTCCAAAGTGCCTCTGTGTGGGTTCCAACTATCAACCTTTCAGGTACTAGTTGAGCACTTAACCTTTTGTACCACCCAGGGACTGTTCCTCAAGAGGAGCTGTATTAGATGGGGTCCGTCCTCAGTATAGAGGACTCTACAGCCACCAAAACAAGACAGATGTAGTGAAGTGACCCAGAAAGGATTCCAAAATGTGTTGTCAAGTGAAAAAAGGAAATCACAGACAGTAGGAACCCATTTATTCAAACACACACATAAACTGCACATGTTATATATAGACAATATGTGTGTGTGTATAGGAATAGATCCGAGAAGAGACACGCCAAACGGCTAACCGTGGCTCTCTCTGGGGAAGAGTTTTTTGATAAATGAAGATTCTCACATTTCTATGTACATGCTTCTATATTATTTGAATATTTTACCTGGTGAATTCATCCATTTCTTACATCTGTGATTAAAGGATAAGATAAATTATGGAGAAAGCATAAAAATGCTAACAATCGTTAAGACTAGGGCTAATTTTTTCTCCTTTCTGCTTGTCTGTAATTCCTAAATTTTTTGTAATGACTATGCATTATCTTTATAATAAAAAAATCTATAACAAATATATTTATGATAAAATAGGAAAATCAAGTAGAAGTCATGCATACAGTCCTACCACAAAACACATACCTTTAAAACACAAGGAAAGGAAGGAGATGGACCGAAAGGCTCTTTGAGCTACTGGGTTAGGAGCTGGGGATTGAGGGGCTTTTTTTCCTTTTTTCTCTCAGTTTCTCTTTTTTTTGAAATTTCTCTTAATATGTGTATATTACTTTTTTAATATTACTTTCATAATGAAAAAAATAAATTTAATAAAATCATAACAAGAATGTGCAGAGTACAGCTGAGACCTGCGGGAGGCCCACCAGGCCCTGTAATTCTTGGGTGTCTCAGTGAGAAGGCGGCAGAAGGGAGTGGCAGAGGGTGACCCAAGGGAGCAACAGACACTCAGCGGGAGAAGGCCTATCTACCAGACTCTGAGGTGGGTATCACACAGTTCCAGCCCCTGGACACTGCCCGAGGATGTTCCCTTGGCACTCTAGCTTCACCCTGTCCAAAACTGTGTTTTCATCCCCCCTCCACCCTGTTCCTCTGGTGATCCCATGTCAGTGGTTCTGTCTACTGCTCAAGCCAGAAACCCAGGCATCTCCCTCACCTCCTCCCACTCCTGGAGGCCCTACATCCAGCCCAGCACCAGGCCTTGTCCATTCTTCCTCCTCTATGTCCCTAAGATCTGTTCACCTCTCTCCTTCCCCTCTGCCACTGCCTCATCCAGGCCACCATCATCTCCTGCAGGTCTCCCGCCTCCATGCTTGTCCCCTGCCAACCTACACTCCATCTTGCAGCCAAACTCAGATTTTTAAACCCCAATCCCATCATTTCCCTCCCCAACTTCAAAAACCTTCAATGGCTCCCCCCTGCCAGAGGGTAAAGTGCAAACCGTTTAGTGTGCCCCACCAAAAAACCTAACTCATTGCTGTCAAGTCGATTCCGACTCATAGTGGCCCTACAAGGCAGAGTAGAACTGCCCCACAGGGATTCCAAGGCTGTAATCTTTATGGGAGCAGACTGCCACATCTTTCTCCTGGGGAGCAGATGGTGACTTGGAACCGCCAACCTTTTGGTTAGCAGCCAAGTGCTTAACCATTGTGCCACCAGGGCTCTTTAGCGCCCCCCCACAGGGCCAATCATAACCTAGTGTCTGCATCCTCTTTTGCCTCACAGAACCATTTACAGAAAAAAGGTTGTTAAGATATGGGCTCTGGAACTGGACTGCCTGACTCTGCCTCTTAATAGCTGTGAAACCATGGTTTCAACGTGACTATACCTTCTGGTAGCATAGTGGCTAAGACACTTGCCTGCTAACCAGAAGGCTGGCGGTTCAAACCCACCAGCCACTCCTCGGAAGGAAGGTTGGGCAATC